CTAGGAGAAAATACTGAGAAGCCGCATATGTAAGAAAGTATCTAGACTACCCAGAGAGGGCTCAAAGTCAACAATAAACATACAAACCATCTAATGAGAGGATGGGCAAAAGACATAGACAGATACTTCACTGAATGAGCATACAGAGATGGCACATTAGCACGTGGGAAGACGTTCGACATCATTAGTGAGATGCAAATTAAAACACCACATTGGAATCCACAATGATCTCAATACAAATTTCAGTTTTCAAAAGTACTATGACCCCTCCTTCCCATGCTCCCATTCCTCTAGCCTCTGATTTAAGTGGTCCAGAGTATGGCCTGGGCATTGAGAGTTTAAAAATCGCCCCCCCGCCACCATGATTTTTATGCACAGCCGAGGTTGAGGACAATTCTTTGGGGATAAAGAGCATAGCTTAATAGGAATTTATAACATAAAGCCTGAAGGCAGGTGAGGGAAGCAACTGACTTGGGGCTTTTGGATTGAGGGTTATCTTCACACTCAGCCCCCAAATAGGAGAATGCAGCTTATTCTCAGGAGGTTTTATGTTCTAGCATAATGTCACACCAGAGGTCCAGCTATTTCTAACCCCTGGAAAGAACAGGATTTGGGCAAATTTAAGGTGGATTAAACACTGTGAGCTCTTCTTATAGGAAGAGCAGCTTTTAAAAATGTGGATACCTGGGTGCTGCTCCTGGCAATCCTCATTTCCTAGGTGTGGAGTGTGAGCAGGGCATCTCCCCTGGGGACTCTAATACAGAGAAGGGGAACAGAATATGCCAACCCAAAATCTGCCTGCTCAGCACAAAGATTATTTTGAGAGACAGCAGGAACAGGGGAAGTTCTGAGAACAGAGTAGAAGTTACCCTCTTGGGAGGGACATTTACAAGGGAAAGCTCCATTTATCAGGGGGTCTCCCTCACTGTACTGGGAAGAGGAAGATGACTAAATCAACCAGAAAGTCATCCACAGAGAAGGCACCAGCTTAGTCTTCATAACAAGCCTTACCCTGTTTACCCTGCTTTTCCTGGTCACTTCGTCTCCCCACTTTTCTTTTGTCTTTAGGGGAAGATGGTATTTAAGGTGGTAACCTAGGCCATCTTGAGGCCACTTTAATGAGTTACTCATTTCCCCTGGGTATTTCCCATGTATAAATGAGGTAAACATGTTAAAAAAACTCTCATTGTATTTCTCTTGTTAATCTTTCATCACAGGGGTCTCAGCTAAGAACTCGGAAGGGTTGAGGAAAATTACTTTTCCTCGCCTTCAGCAAGGACTTTTGAGGACCACTGTTTTAGGCCACTGGCTCTCAACCTCGCCTGCAAGGTAGAATTACCTAGGGGAACTTTCCTATCTCCTGAGGCCTGATAGCCAAAGACCCTGATTGCTCTGGGGTGTGGCCAGGTCAGCAGATTTTTAAAGCTCCCCAATTGCTTCCAACATGGAATCAAGATTGAAAACCACTGGTTTAAGTACTCACCTTCCCTAATCTTCTACAGCATTGTTGATACGAAGGGGCTGTTGGGCACAAAAGCCTTTCTATATCCCCCTTTCTTGATTATAGGAAATAGGCTTCATTCAGCCTCCAAGACCTTCCTGAGTTCCAAGGAACAGGTTCAAACGGATGCTTATTACGGAAGAGAGAGGATGAGGTAACAAGGGAATAACAGTCAAAAGAAACAACAGTGCAGCCTTGGGCAGGTCCTGGTCCACCCTCTCAAGGCATATACAGAAAATATTTGAGCTGTTTCACAGATACTGAAAGCCCCACCAGGTGGGAGGAGTTAACTGCGTGCTGCCCACAAGCACTAGACCCCAGACCTGTTGGAACCAGAAGGTTGCTGATGCTGACTTCCACTTACCTCACCACCAGCCAATCAGAAGACTGCCCGTGAGCTGACCACGCCCTCTTTGAACCATTCCTGTAAAACTCCTCACTACCCTCTCCAGGTCTGGACACACGGTTTTCAGGACAGGAGCCCGCTGAGGCCCTCTTTGCCTGGCAAAGCGGTAAAATTATTCTTTTCTGTTTCACCCAGAACTCTGCCTCAGAGATCTGATTCAGTGTCAAGGAACAGAAGCTGAATTCAGCTGCAATATCAGTTGTGTTTTGGCACACAGGATTCAACAGTGAATGTTTCCATAGGAAGGAGAAAACTTTACAGGTTGGGGGGCGGTGGCTAGAACCCCATCTGTTTCTCCAAAATCACTGATTACTTTACCTGTTTTCAAGGCTGGTAAACTTGCCACTTACTCTCATTACCAGGGCATAGCTGAGTATCTCCTTTCCCTTGTGAAATGGATTCATCTATCCTGAGCCCCCAAGACTCTTCTTAACCACCCATTCAACAGCCATGTCAATTGTCCAACTCAGTGGTTCTCAGTTTGCTGTGTGTTAAAATTTCCTGGACACTTTTTAAAAAATACAAATGCCTGGGCCCCACCCAGATGGTCTGATGTAAATGGTCCAGGGTGCAACCTGGGTCTTGGGATTTTTTTTTGTCAAGCCATGGGGCTTGTGGCATCTTAGTTCCTCGACCAGGGATTGAACCCGAGTCCTGGACAGTGGGAGCGTGGAGTCCTAACCACTGGACCACCAGGGAATTCCCAGGGCCTTGGGATTTTTAAGAGTCTCTGCAGATCCTAATGTTCAGCTGTTTGAAAACCACTGGTCCCAGTGCGATTTGATTTAGTGTTGAGAAACTGACTTTTGCACCAAAAGATTCTAACAAAAATAGTCTATGAGACAAGCAGCTGTGCAGAATTGTCATATTTTCAAACTAAGAACTCCTATACAATGCGATGAAGTGCTGTAAATGCAACAGAGAATGCTTGGAGATGAATCATTATTGGGAACACTGTATTCCAAATCTAAATTGCCCCTTCCCACAGCTAAGACCCCTACAGTGTCTTGGAGTCTCTGGCATGATCTACGCAGAGTTCATGGGCATGCCAGTTCTACAGATGTGAAGGCAAAGTACTTCTGCATAACAGCATCTCTCAACTCATCAACTCTCTACCTCCTGGTGGGCCAACGTTATACCAACATCAAATGCAAATTACAGATAAACTAATTTAAGTCCTAACTGCCTCTACCTCATCTCCCAAGGGGGCTGCTGTTTGTGATCACACCTCCAAAGCAATGTGCCACCTGCGGACTGTCATTTTCATCAGATGTGCCTAATTACACAGCCTCATTCTGAAACTATCCGCCTGCATTCATTCCCAGGATCCCCAGTGGTGGAAGACATTTTCCCCAGTTTAAAATATCCTCTCTGCACATTTGCAGAGGACACTCTCAATGTCCAGACGAGCATCTGAGAGGAGTTGCCACTCTTGGCAACAATCTTTAGGGAGCTTTGGAAGAGGAGTTTAAATAAATGTCAGAAGAGAGAAGTGGATGCTTTGTTCTGTGGTGAAAAGTCCATCCTCTGGCTGAAAGGGATGCATGCCAGACGATGAGTCACGCCGAGTGGGATGGAATGTGAAAAGCAAGGAACAGTACATAACAGGAGCCTTCTGAACCGTGGCTGAAGGCAGACAAGTGGGAGGAAAGCTTGTGGCCTCAGATTTTCTTAGGCTAAGCGATCTGGAAGCGAACACACAAAACATCTGGGAGACGCTGGTTTGGCCTGGCGGATCCCCCTGGGAGTTCTCGCCACATGCAGATGGAGATACGAATTCAAGAAAATTGTGGGTTAAAAGGGAAACTGCTATTTGTCAACAACGCCCTGGTTAGACATGGTCCTCTTCCCACACCAAGGGCAGTCTGTCTGGTGAAGAGATGACTCAACCAGGAAGAAAAACCACTCTGTTAGGGAAGCGCAGGAGATTCTGCCCCCAAAGCTCTCTCTCCAGGTCACGGCCAGAAACAGAAATGAGAAGCAGTTGTGTTTCATTAAACCCACTGGCTTTTCCAGACTGAGTTTCAAATTCCAGTAAAAATACAATTCTGTACAAGTGGTTTTCACACTTCAGCCTGCATCAGAATTCCCTGGGGAGCCTGTGAAGAAACATCCCCCTCCCCCCAGCGTTTCCGTGTCTCTGGTCCTGCAGAGTTGCGTGAGGGTCGGAGAATCTCCATCTCCAATCGGTTCCCAGGGGACTCCAATGGGCCAGGGGTCATGTTCTGAGAGCCACTGCTTTGAGGATGATGCTGAGGGTGTTTAACCATAAAGGATGACTTACACGTGACTTTGAGCACTCATACCCAAGGACCTCTGTGTAAATATCTAGGTCCCCAGTAGGTCAAGTAAGCACCGGACTAGGAGTCACATGCAAGATGCTGACTGTGGCTGCCCAGGATGTGACTGGTGTGACAGCCACTTCTGGTTTCATATACTAAATAGCAGCTGAATGTCAAACAAGAAAAATACCATTAAAACACTGGTGGGAGCATAAAGGGAAATACCACATCCCACGCACAGAAAGCAGTGTGTGGGTGGGATGGAGGGGGGAGGGGGGAGCAGCGCGGTGAGAGACTCAGAAGATGAAGGAATGTTATTTTGTGGATGAGATGCTCATCTTTTATATGGAAGACAGACCAGCCTTCAGGGAAGGAGCAGGAGGGTGTTGGTTATTTATTTACTAATCTCATGACTATTAATGTCCACAGGGTGCATGGGCTTGTGGTGAGCTATACATCTGAAAGAATATCCTAGTCTGGAGGTCTGTGATGTTGGGGTAAGGAGCCAGTGAAAGCGGAGTTTGTCTTCCCTGAAGACTTAAATTTGGTACTCAACCATTGTTTATCGGGCAGCCAGGGCTGGTTTTAGTTAGACTCTCCTAGATGCAGAAGAATGGATATAATGATATCTCAAGTGCTGTTTCTTCTTTAGGTAAAGAAAGCATATAAAGAAAAGTCAGTGCTTCAGTGGGAAGCTATGCACTGTCTATAGTTCACCCTTCCCTGTGACCTCATTCTGAGTCTATGAAAGCTATTTAACAACTCTGCAAGCTGGAGATAATTGATAGCAAAGTAATTATTGCCTGTAGACATGCAAATGGACGGCCCAGCACCTTCCCTCTCTCACGGGAAGAACGAAGAAGCAGGTTTCATCTCCACCATCCTGCAATACCACTGTGATGCCAGCCTGGAGGTAGGGCAGACTCAGCAGGCTAAGGGTAGAGTCCGCAATGAGATCACCCTCATTTCAGATGCCAGCTGCAAGTTTGGGGGTCCTCAAGCTACCAGCACTTCTGACCAACTGGCCACTAACTCAGGGGAGCCCATTACTCCTTTATGCTTGAGAATTCATGAGAATGACTCACAGAACTCAGGAAGTCTCTATAGTTATGATTGCAATTTTGTAATATACGGTACAAATGAGGATGGGTCAGGTGAAAAGACATGCGAGGTGAGGTCCAGAAGGGTCTCAAACACAGAGCTGCCGCATCCTCTTCCCGTGGAATCAGGGCATGTAAAACTCAGCACACGGGTGCTCACTAACCGGGAAGCTCTCTGGAGCCCACTGTTCAGAGTTTGTACAGGGGTCTCATTACATAGGTATGATCAGATGGATAATCGGCTACATGATGGAACTCAATATCCAGCACCCCCCCACTCCTTCCTGGCTCATAGCCACAAACCTCTAATGACAAGGTTGTCTAGTCACATGACTGGCCCCCATCCTGAGTTGTCTGCTAAGCATGAACACCGATGTGGTACAAGGACCCACCATGAATAATAATCCTTCTATCACTCGGGGCTTCCCTGGTTGTTTAGAGTGTAAAGAATCCGCCTGCAATGCAGGAGACCTTGCTTCAATCTCTGGGTCAGGAAGATCTCCTGGAGAAGGAAATGGCAACCCACTCCCACATTCTTGCCTGGGAAACCCCATGGAAAGAGGAGTCTAGAGGGCTACAGTCTATGTGGTGGCAAAGAGTCGGACGTGACTGAGTGACTAACACTCGCTTTCTATCACTCAGGAAATTCCAAGGATTTAACATTTCCCTCCCAGGAGCTACAGAGACAAAAGCCAACCAATTCTTTATTATACGTCAGTCCCCATTTTGAATATAAAAATATATGTTTTTGTATTCTCGATCCATATACATGTCTGTTTTTCGGATGGATCGTTTAACTGGTTACAACATCACTGGGTTCCTTGGTTTTTATTTTTAAAACCAAGGTATAGAAAAGCTAGGACTGCTCTTGGATAACCCCATCATTTTGTGGTTAAGAAGACAATGCCAAGAGATGAGGGATGTGCCCTGGAGTCTCATAGCCCGGTGGAGCCCACTTGGGATTGGAATTCGCGCTTCCAGACTACGTTGTGTTTGTAGCAGAGAAAAATCATTTTCCCTCTACCTTTTCAGGTACTTGGCTGAGATGCCCATAATCAAAGAACAAAAGTTTAACAACATGAATACCTCCTGCATGTGTGGGAGAGACCCAGCAGAACTTAAAAGTGAAGTGTTAGTCACTCAGTCGTGTCCAACTCTTCACAAATCCATGAACTGTAGCCCGCCAGGCTCCTCTGTCCACGGATTTCTCCAGGCAAGAACGCTGGAGTGGGTTGCCATTTCCTTCTCCAGGGGATCTTCCTGACTCAGGGATCGAACCTGGGTCTCCTGCATTTCTGGCTGATTCTTTACCATCTGAGCCACCAGGGAAGCCCTAGCAGAATTCAGTATCTCCCCCAAAAGGTCCAAGACACCACTGTAAATACCATCTTCAGCTAAAGACAAAAGATGTTGGGTGGAGGGAAGCGGGTTCAGGCAAGGTTTTCAGGCAAAGCACAGTAAACAAGGGTAAGAATATTAACCAGATTTAAACCGATGCCTTTACCACAGGTAGAATTTCTAGACATTAAGAATCATCCTTCTTTTCCTGGCACAGAGACGGAGTGTGCATGCATGCTCAGTCATGTCTGACTCTTTGTAACCCCATGGACTGTAGCCTGCTTGGCTCCTCTGTTCACGGGATTCTCCAGGCAAGAACACTGCAGTGGGTTGCCATTTCCTTCTCCAGGGGATCTTCCTGACCCAAATATCAAACCGTGTTTCCTTTATCTCCTGTATTGGTAGGCATTCTTTACCACTGAGCCACCTGGGAAGCCCATGGAGAGGGAGACGCCCTTACAAGGAGATTTCCCTTATAACAAAAGGGTAACTTCTTTTCTGTTTTCAGAGCTTCTCCTGTATAGGCTGTTTCTTAACAATAATCAGCTCAGAATAATCCGTATGCCAAAGAGGCATATTTGGAGGGGGGGGGCGTGTCCTGCTCGCCTTCATGTTCCTCACCAACATGTATACCACATAGCCAAACACTCTGTTCTCCTCCCTTCCCTGCCCTCGACTCCTGAAGAGCGCAGCATCCAAGCCCTGATTCACTCCCATTAGGAACTCTCCGCTTATCCTGTCTGACTCTTCCTTTATATCAGGATTTCCCTGGTGGCCCAGTGGTTGACTCTGCACTCCAGTGCAGGGGCCCTGGGTTCAATCCCTGGTCAGGGAACTAGATCCCATGTGCTGCAACTAAGACCTGGCACAGCCAAATAAACAAATACTGAAAAAAAAAAGAACTCCTTGTGGTTGAGTGTAGAGCTTTGGCCCAACTAGCACCTACATTACCTAAGACAATTCCGCTGGCATGTGCAATGTACTTACAACTGTTGGCAAATACATAAATGATACTTAGTGCAAAAGTATGTAAATGAATAATAGCAAACAATGATGATTAACATTCATAGGACATTGACTTTCTGCCTGCAAATTACTTTCCTTGCACACATGTAAAACTCACATCAGCTCCACAGATTAGGTATTATTATTATTGCTACTTTACAGCTGAGGAAAATGAAGTTTATAAAGGTTGAAAACAGACAAGAAGATGGCACAAGACAGAAGACAGCAGAGTAAGGTCTGTTTGCTTATTGAGTTGAAGTCAATCCCTAGGCCAGCTTTTCTCAAACTTGAGTGTGCATCAGGATCAGTTCCTGGAGGGCTTGCTAAAACACCTGGGGTGGGATTGTGGAATTAGCATTTCTAGCAATTTCTCAGGGGACAAGGATGATACAGGCTTTGAGTCCACAGGCCCACCACTGCTCTAGGCTTTGCTGGCCGACAGTGAACAGAAATAAACACAGGTCAACACAACCTAAGGAGAAATGTAGGCCACATTTTATACACTGAGAGCAATCTGGTACATTTTTCATTTTTATCAGGAAGACATGAGTGACCCAGCTTTACTCTTTCACTGTTTATTAAGCATATGATGGGATTGGGGCAGAGTGTGAAATGAAAGGAAGGGATGTCTTCTGGCAGTCTTAGGATCTTTCAAGAAATGGGGGGCGGGGGGAATGCCAGTAAAGTTATCTATTTCTGTGCAGATTCCAAACTGAAATACAGTTTGAAAACTGTCTCCAAATCAGAATATTGTATCAACTAGTGTGTTCTGAGAAAATGATACAGGGGAACAGAAAACAATTATGTGAAACTCTTTTTCTTTTTTTATCTAACCAAGCCTGTGCCAGCCAGGAAGAAGGTGGTGGTGGTAGGTACCTGCAGTGGCCTTTAGGGGAAAAAATACATTCATTGTTCATCAGGCCAGGCCTTCTGCAAGAACACAGCCCCTAGCTGTGACATCGTGGTCAGCTGCTGCTCTGCTGACCAAGACCCACACAATACCCCTTGTCTTTCTCAGTTTAAGGTGAATGGATCTGGACTGTTGGATTGGCCATCAAACACGCATTGGAACAATCCATTCAAGAAGCACCCACACTGATCAAGGAAGAATCTTTGGTGAGAAAGAATAGGCCATTTAAAGCAGAGGTTTTCAAAATTCACTGCAAAATGACATCACTTGGGGGAGCTTTTATAAATCTGAAGTCCAGGCCTTAGTTCAGACCCATTACAACAGAATCTGCAAGTAGATCCAAGCACTGGCATCTTTGAAGTTGCCCAGGAGATGCCAACGTGCAACTAAGCATGAGTCAGGGTCCTGAGAATTCCCTGGATGCTGAGTGGTGAGGACTCTGCACTTCCACAGATGACAGCATGGGTTCAATCCCAGGCTGGGGAACTAAGATCCCACAAGGTATGCAGAGTGGCCAAAAAAACCCAAACAGTCAGTGTCTTGAAGAACTTCTGATCTATTAAGTTGAATAAGATACCCCAGGGGATCTTGCTAAAAGGCAGACTCCTCTGACTTAGTAAGCCTAGAGTGGGGCCTAAGACACTGCATTTCTAACAAGCTCCTAGACGGAATGTATCTCAAGCATAAGAATAGCAGCAAAATGCCTAGCAAAGTTGTGCTCCACTGAATGCAAAGATATCCGGCTGCTGAGACCTTCTGGTTTGGCTGGAGTCAGAGCAAGCACCAGATCAAATCAAGACATCAGCCATTCAGCCCCATTGAGAGTGTTATATCCTGTCTCTGGTGAGGCAACAGCTGAAATCCTAATTTCTCTTACCGGGCCTCACTACATGAAATGCTCAGCATTTCCTAGCATAGAATATTGTGCCCTCTGGACAGACTGTTGGATTCGATGAACCCTCAGTAATCCCATGTTTACCAGCACTGCTCAGTGAAATCAGATTTCAGAGGACAGCATATTCTTCCATATGGTATGCATGGGACTAAGCCTTGCCAATAATTTTCTAAGTCATCAGGCATTCCCTGCTCCCTCCACCACCAGAATTCTGATTTGCACCAGGCATATGTTATTCAATGACATCCTCCCCTCTTCCTGACCATGCTAGCAATTCACCAAACCCCACCATCTTCTTCCTTACTGGTCTACCAATCATAGCCTCCTGTGCTATTAGGTGTGGTCACATGACTGGATTGTAGCCAATGGAATGTAAGTAGAAATAATGTGTGTGGCATGCAGACCAGGCCCATAAAAATCTCTCTCCATGTGATCTTCTATGTGCTTTCCCCTCTGCCAACTTTGTGCAAATATGCTCAGCAACTTGGAAGCCATGTGCTACAGATGGTAGAGCCACAAGATGGAGAGGGAGCTTCCTGCCAATTAGGAACACTTCTTTTTTGACTTTATGGAGAAATACAGTTCTTTTGTGTTTGAATCATTCCACCATTTGTAAGTTTTGGTTTTTTTTTAACAGCTGCTAAACATATTTTAATTACTATACCTTGTAACCATCACAATCTACCTTCCATGGGCAAGCAGAACTTGGGGATATGGAGAGGGAACCATGAGTCACCCAGTTGACAGCACAGCCTGCACCCCATCCTAGACAGCAAAGTGTTTGTTGGAGGAATGAAAGAGTCTCTCTTCTTCTTCATGGATCCCTCTTACTATGCCTCTCTGCTGCTAGACTGTTGCAAGAGGGTTTGGAGAGTCTCTCTATGAAGAGAAGAGATATGGTGAGCCAAAGAAGGAACAAGGAGCAGCTGACTGCTGAGATCTACTTTTTGTGTTGGTTTTAAGAATGAGAATGAGACATGAACCTCAGCGTTCATAGAAGCACTATTTACAATAGGTAAGACATGGAGGCAACCTAAATATCCATCGACAGTGGAATGGATAAAGAAGATGTGGTACATATATACAATGTAACATTACTCAGCCATGAAAAAGAATGAAACCATGCCATTTGCAGCAGCATGGATGGACCTACAGATTATCATATGAAGTGAAGTAAGACAAAGAAAGACAAATATATGCTATCACTTCTAGGCGGAATCTAAAAGAAATGATAGAAATGAACTTATTTACAATACAGAAATAGATCCACAGACATAGAAACCAAACTTATGGTTACCAAAAGGGAAAGGGGAGGACAAATTAGGAGTTTGGGATAAGCAGATACAAACTAGTATATATAAAACAGATAATCAACAAGGCCCTCTTGAAACATCCCACCCTCGCCTTCTCCCACAGAGTCCAAAAGTCTGTTCTATACATCTGTGTCTCTTTTTCTGTTTTGCATATAGGGGAACACATGTAAATCCATGGCTAATTCATGTCAATGTATGATAAAAACCACTACAATATTGTAAAGTAATTAGCCTCCAACTAATAAAAATAAATGAAAAAAAAAAGAAAAAATAAATAAATAAATAAACAAGGCCCTACTGTATAGCACAGGGAACTATATTCAATACCCTGTAATAACTTATAATGGAAAATAATCAGAAAAAGAATATATATAACTGAATCATTTTGCTGTACACTTGAAAGGAGAGAAGCTAGGGAGAATAAATGATGGTGATGATAAATAACACGAATAGCAATTTAACACATGCCATCACTGTTACACAATTTTATACACACTACCTCATTCATTCTGCAGAACAATCCAATTATTAAGTACTATTAATATTCTCCTTTCACAAAGGCAAAAACAGAGGCCCAGAGAGATGAACTTGATACTACGTTAGAGGCAGAGCCAAGAGGCAAACCCAGGCAGGCTGCCTCCAGTTCTCTCACTGGTATTCACTGTACTGGACAGTTTCAGGGTCTGGGAAAGATCCAACCACCAGTGAAAGGTAATGTGTGTGTCTGTAGTTTCTTTGCTTTCTTAAGAGTGAAACTGCGGCTGGACAGAGCAAGAACCTGGCAGAATCAGGGAAGCCTAACAACTGGAAAACCCTCAATACATGTGGCATAGTCATATGAAGAAGCCTTTTAGGTAGCTCACATTTTGGCCAACTACATAGTCTATTTTTCACCATTGCTCCTGGTTGAGACCCAAAATAACACATTCAAACACAACCTCATGGGGACCTTAAATGAATGAATACATGCAAGCATGATGATAGGCTCCATTTCTTTATTCTTTTTTTGCCACACTAGCGGTATGTGGGATCTTAGGTCCCCGACCAGGGATCGAACCCACATCCCTAGCATTGTCTTAACCACTGGCCCACGAGGGAAGTCCCTCAGTTTCTTCCATGCCTATTTCCTTACATGTATAACTTATTTGCATCCTCATAATTTTTAATTATCTTGAAAAAATTATACAGCCAAAAAGGGTATGAAGTATATAAGTATATTGGAGGATAACAAAATGCACATCTCTGCATGTACAACCAAGCTGAAGATAAAAAACATTCTAGGATCTTTGAAGTGCCCTGTGTACTCCTTCTTAGTCCCATATTTTTACTCCCCCACCTCCAAAAGGTATTCAAAATCATTTTAATTATCCACTTGCTATCTTTTTCGCCTTACCCCAGAGTTCCTCAATAGTGGCACTACTGACATTTTTGATGGGATAATCTTTTGTTGTGAGGGGCTGTCCTATGCTGTTGTGAGTTGAATTATACTCCCCCCATCCCAAGATGTAGTGAAGTCCTAACTCCCAGTATCTCAGATCTGACCTTATCTGAAAAATAGAGTGGTACTAGAGTAATTAGTTAAGATGAGGTTATACTGGAGTAGGATGGGTCTTTAATCCAATATGACTTGTGTCACATAACTCTATATATTAATACATGGAATTACACATGTGTCCTTCTATGACTTGCTGTCTTTTTGATCAGTGTTATGTGTCTGAGGTTTACCCAGGTTGGTGCATGGAGCTGGTATGTATTCATTTTCTCTGCTGTATGGTATTCCATGCTGCCAATATGCCTAGTTCCCTACTCCTTCCATCCAGGGAAAAGATAGAGACAGGGAAGTTTCTCAGCTGTCTCCTCTGTGTTGTGGATACATTTCTTGTTCACCCTAACACCAAAGGTGAAACACTTCAGGATCATCACTTTATGGAGGGTACTCCTATTAAGATCTCTACCTTAATGTTCCCTAGGCTTTATTGTCTCCCAACCCTTGTCCCCAGCCCCACGAAGCCTCTAAAACAGAACTTGAGGGTCACTTTCCCTTCGCCTTTGACCTCTGTAGATGTCCTTCCTGCTTGCCAGTTTAGGAAGTGCATTTGAAAAACTTATTTTTCCAGAACTCTTATCAGGACTCTTAGAACTGAAGAAATGTGTATTTCTCTTCCAAGAAAGAGGAGAATAAGTTATTGGAAATGAACTGATTAGTCTGGTAAATCTTAAGAAGTCTTAGAGTTGAACACTGAAACACCTCAAGAAACAGCATATTTACAGCTAACCACCATCTTTCATGAAGCATAAGGAGATCTTGAACCATCTATGGAAGACTGCCCCTCCAGCATTTCACTCATCCACCACATTACTATTCATTACTTAACTGAATAATTTCACCATTAAGCACACATCCATCCCTGAGCCTAGTTCCAGGAGAATCCACTTTGATTTATGTACAGAATCAGAAACACTGAGCTTAGAAGCATGATCTGCATTCTTACTCCAAATTTACAGAGGTCATGTGCCCCCTCCTCTGCATTTTGTTGAGCTTTCTAGGGCTGTTCCATAATTTTAGGGTCCAGTCATTTTCCTGCAGAAATTTCACTACTATGATTATGAGGCTTGCCTTGTAGAAGCTGCACAATCACGCCAGAAGCCACCTCTGGGGCATCCTTTCCTATCAAGAGATTTAAATCCAAAGCGAGAGGCGAACTTTTATGCAAAATGAATAAAACAAAACCAGGTTGGGGAGGAGGGGAATACTGCAAATATTCTGACATATTCCAAATGCCAAAAGCCCACAAGTCTATTTTCATGCATGCATGTATTCATTCATTTAAGGTCCCCACGAGGTTGTTTGAATGTGCTATTTTGGGTCTCAGTCAGAAGCAATGGTAAAAAATAGACTATGTATTCGACCAAGTGTGGGCTACTCCTTGTCAATTGCTTCCACCCCTGTCATTTGTTTCTCTCAATACCTTAACCCTGATTTATTGTCCTGTACTTAAAATTACATTGTTTACTTATTTTTATAATCTTATAGTAAAAATATTATATTAATCTTGATAATATATAAATTATTTATTTTAGCCTAATTACATTCTTTCTTCTTAACAAGAAGATATTAGTTACCTCTGTATCCAAGCTTCTCTCAGAGTTTGGCACACAGTACATGCTCAATAAATATTTGCTGAATAGTGAATGGATATATGAATGCAGAATTGAAATTTGAAAGAAAAATAAATATATATATATTTTTACTTGAAAGTATGTGCTGTTATTTAACTATTTCAACTCATTTTCTGCATTCATAATTAGGGACCAGGTAACATTAATCTAGCATTTGGTAGGACCAGTACTCCCCACATGAACAAGACAGTATTAACATTAGAATACAGCTGACTTTTGAGCAAAGAACTTTTCTATTAGGTTTTGATCATGATCAAGTCTCCTTCATCTAGATAAAAAGAAAGAAAACCTCCTTCGAGTTCATTTTTACCCCATCTCCCACCCCCAGAAAATGCTCCCCTTTCTCTCTCCCTTTAAACTCACTCCATGTCTGAACTTTCAGCATGTTTTCACTTCCCAACAAGCCTTTCATCAAATAGCTTTCACTCATGTCATCGTGATCTCTAAGCCACTAAAACGCACAGAAACTCTTCTGCTCCCAACCTTCCTGAGCTCTTGGCATCATTAAATGCATCCCTTCCAAAAGCATCCTCGGGACTTCCCTGGTGCTCCAGTGGCTAAGATGCTGCACTCCCAATGCAGGGGGCCTGGGTTCGATATCCAGTCAGGGAACTAGATCCCATGCTACAACTACAAAATTCTGCATAATGCAATTAAAAGACCTCATGTGCTGCAACTAAACATCTTGCATGCTGCAAGTAAGACTCGGGGCAGTCAAATAAATATGTAAATAAGTATTTAAAAAAAACAGAAGCATCCTGTTTACGGTGCTAGCATGACACCAGTTTTTCTGCTTGTCTCCCTAAGGCTCTGAATGCTCCCTCAGAATCCCCTCGTCTCTTCTATTTCACCTTGAAGTCTAGTTCTTCCCCTTTGTTTCTCCCCTTTCTTCTTCCTCCTAATTTTCTACCCATGTCATTCATTCTCTGGCCTGTTTTAGCCATTGCACCTCCCTCGGCCATGAGTAGAAGACCTGTATGCCTAACTCTTAACTCTCCATCTTCGTCCAGTTGTGGCAGAAGCACCTCCATCTTAACATGTTGCAAACCAGATGTGCACTCTTTCTCCCATCCTAGAGATTCCTCTCTTTGGGGATGGCCCCACCACCTACCCACACAGTTTATCAGGAATCATTTCTGATACTCCTTCTTCATGTCCACATCCCAACAAGGCAGTTAAACATCTGACACTGTATTTCACTCCGTTCCCATGGCCCCATTCTAGTCCTCACTTGCTATAACAATCTAAGCTTCGTTAAAAGCAATTTGTCCCCATAAATTAGTTTACTAAAGATATCATTTTAAAACCCAAATCTGCTCATGTATAAGCATTTCAATTTCTTCCAACTACTCTTAGTATAAGACTCAAAATTCTTCCCTCCAATCCTCCGCCCATACCTGACATAGAAAACTCTCATTATGAAACTCTCAGTTTAAGTATATTTTCCACCATAAACCCCTATCCTGATTCCCAGATAGGTAAGAGCTCCATTATTTGCTTTCTTAGCATCTAGTACTTCTTAGCACTTGTCACAAAGGTAATAAAGTGATTATAAATAATAACTGTACAAATTATTATGTTATGTATGTATGTCCTTGTAGGAGGATGAAAATTCAATGAGGTCAGGGGTTTGCCTATGGTTTTTAATTTTCCTAACCCTTTTCTGCATCAAAGCATGAGGAGAAAAACGATATTTACAAGAGAAACTGGAATAATGAGGGCAAGAGGCTACTTCCAGCCAAAGGCCACCAACCTGTGGTCTCTGGTTGGCTGAGACTCTGCCCTCCACCTTGGGCCGGAGTAATAAATGTGTCCGCACACATGGCTACTGAGCTAGTTGGGAAACTCACCTTTCCGCTGACATTATATCCCTAGGGCTTGCATAGTTTTTCTACTCTAACATATTGCTTCCCAACAGAGCTTTTTTCCCCCATTGCTAGAGATATTTAAGATGAGTCTAAAGGAAATGTATTCCAAGTCTAAAGTTTACCCAGTGATCATCCAGCAAGGCCTTGGAGACTTCACTAGTTTAGGAGATGAACCAGGGGATGGTAAGTACAAGCCCGCCTGGGAAGAGAGGAGGAGGGCAGTCACAGAAATGTCAGTGAGGGCTTTCCTGGTGGTTCAATGGTAAAGAATATGCTTGCCAAGGCAGAGGACAAGGGTTCAATCCCTGGTCTGGGAAGATCCCACATGCCACAAAGGAACTAAGTTCGAGAGCTGCAATTACTGAGCTGTGTGCTAGAGCCTGGGAGCTACAACCACTGAAGCCCAAATGCCCTAGAGGCCTGCGCTCCACAAGAGGAGCCACCGCAATGAGACGCCTGTGTGCAGCAGCAAAGAGGACCGCTCACCACAACGAGGGAAAAGCAATGAAGACCCAGCACAGCCGAAAATAGTTAAGCAATTAATAAACTTTTGAATAATTCCAGTGAACACAGGCATTACAAAAGGAGCTCCAGTATACAGAAGGCTGGACTTATGGGGCCTGGTTTTGATGTACTGCAGACTGCTCTAAGGGGAAATAAAAGGAAATGTAAGTACCCACCTACTGTTACATGCTTGGTTGTATATTTTTAAATTATATACATATATCATAGTTCTGATACAGTTCATACATTGTAAAAGAAAGCAAAATTGCAAACTTAACATGATACAGATGAACTAAAACAGATCTTAAGTCTCGCTAATTAGGATGCTTCCTATTTTTATTTACCAATAGCTTAAACACAACAAAGAGTAGGTACATAAAGAAGGCTGAGAACTGAAGAATTGATGCTTTCAAACTGTGGTGCTGGAGAAGATTCTTGAGAGTCTCTTGGACTGCAAGGAGATCAAACCAGTCAATCCTAAAGGAAATCAATTCTGACTATCCATTGGAAGGACTGATGCTAAAGCTCCAATACTTTGACCACCAGATGCCAAGAGCCAACTTATTGGAAAAGACCCTGAGGTTGAGAAAGATTGAAGGCAAAAGGAGAAGGGGGTGGCAGAGGATGAGATGGTTGGATGGCATCACCAACTCAATGGACATGAATTTGAGCAAACTCTGGGAGATAGTAGAGGACAGAGGAGCCTAGGGTGCTGCAGTCCATGGGGTCACAAAGAGTGGGACACAACTTAGCAACTGAACAACAAAAACTTTTTCTTGAGTCTATACTCTATATGTTTTGGTAGGGCTATAGTTAAAATATTTGGATGCATATGAATTTGAGCTTGGCACCAGCAGACTTTTGAGCTAGTCCCAACTCACTGTGAAGAATTAAACAGGGGTCAGTGTACAGGGGTATATTTGGCTCACATATATAAAAATGAATCAAAATAAAACTACCCTTTTCCTGCTTTTCCAGAATGGTTCTTTTCCACAAATGGTTATATTTCCACATCTGATGGTATAGAAAGACACTCTGGATTCTTTTCCAGCCATGAGACTGTGGGCAAGGTATGTATTAATAAATAGCTTACATTTCATTTTCCTTAACAGGAAAATGTAAATACTGATAGTGACCTTAGAGGTTTGATAAGTAAAAGACTGTATGCATAATAGGGGCCCAGTGTCAAGAATGTAGTAAGCACTCAGTAAAACCTAATCATTATTATTTATATTTCTGCACATATGTATTAATATATAAATATATATATATATATGTACAACGATAGGATGCTGCCATCTTTGCTTGCCAATAATGGTCAACTCAGTGAATTCTCTAGTGATCCAGTGGTTAGGACTACACATTTTCACTGCTCAGGACCTGGGTTCGATCCCTGGTCAATGAACTAAAAACACACAAGCCACGCTGCATGGCCAAAAAAAAAAAGTCAACTATCAGCACTTTCATACAGTCCAACATAACACACACCATGAGAGCCCCTCTGATCTTGGGACCTGGTGGTTTACCCTCTAAGACTTTGATTCAATGACCTATAAAGTTGGCACCTGCTTTCCTAACCTTAACCTATATTTAGAATTCTTAGAACCTAAAAGTATTTATCACCTTGTACTATTTCTTGGGAGGAAGCCTCTTTGTGTCAAATTCCCTTTGTGAGAGCCTGAGTTTTGACTGCCCTCATCAAGAGGGTGGGCAAATTACAGCCACAGGCCAAATAGGCTGCCATGTGTTATCGTAAATAAAGTTTTACTGGAGCAGAGCTAAGCTCATTGACTGATGTATTTTCTGCTTCTTCTCTGTAAGAGCAGAGTTGTGTAGATGTGAACACTGATTCACAAAGCAAAGAATATTTACTCTTTGCCCTTTTATAGAGGAAGCTCACTACCCCCTGGTTGAAATTTGTTTCTGTTGCTTAGTCGTTTAGTCATATCTGACTCTTTGCGACCCCATGGACTGTAGCCTGCCAGGTGTCTCTATCCCTGGAATTCTCCAAGCAAGAACACTGGAGTTGGTTGCCATTCCCTTCTCAGGGGAGCTTCCTGACCCAGGGATCAAACCCAGGCCTCCTGCATTGATATGGATTCTCATACTGCTGAGAGACCAGGGAAGCCGCCAGTTGAGACTAGAGATCTGCAAAACAGAGTCCACTAGTGTAGGGCAGAGGAAAGAAAACTTTTCGTGATGGTCATTTTTCTCATTATAACACAAGGGAACAATTAGATCAGCAAGGAGGAGTGGCCAGTGGCTCCTCCGCCTTCATTTTCTGGCTGTCAACATATCGTGAAATAGCGCACTTTATGAATGCCTATGCAGTGTGTCTCCAGATTGTGTTACTGAGCGGTAACTAACTTGAATCCCCCAAATGGACAAGTGACTTTAAAAGATACCAGTAAACAACAATAGTATCAATAATACTAATAATGCAAGCATGGGGCTGGGGTAGGAGGGATGAGATGTTTATCAGTCTTGTTAGAAAAGAAAATCAATCAAATTTTTTAAAAAAAGGTCAGCTAAGAGAAATTCAAAATGATCAAGAAGTTTACTTGAAATAAAGTTTTCATGCAGCACAAGTAAGAATAAAATTCACCTGAAACTAACACAACACTGTAAATCAACTATACTTCAATAAAAAATTTGTTAAAAAAGAAAAAAGTTCACAAGAGTGAAAGAGGAGTGTGAAAAAGCTGGCTTAAAACTCAACTTTCAGAAAACTAAGATCATGGCATCTGGTCCCATCACTTTATGGCAAATAGATGGGCAAACAGTGGAAACAGTGACAGACTTTATTTTCTTGGGCTCCAAAATCATTGCGGATGGTGACTGGAACCATGAAATTAAAAGAAGCTTAGTCTTTGGAAGGAAAGCTATGACAAACCTAGACAGTGTATTAAAAAGCAGAGACATTGCTGACAAAGGTCCAACAACAGGATATACATCCAAATCTTTTAAGCAGCATCTGAAGAGGGAGGAAGAGCATCGGCCTAGAGAAGGGAACAGAGGAGATTTCAACTTCTATCTCCATAATTTCATTTATATTAAAACAATGCACGAATTAACATATGTTTATGTTGAGAAATAAGTGGATGATATTTTAATATCATGTTAAACATCTTTATATTTTTGATATAGTCTTCAAAAGGAAAGTTTTTCCTCCTTTTTATTTCTAAAAGATGTGGATACTTGCAAGCATGTTTTATAGTGCCTCTCTGTGCTTTTTAGTAA